GGGGGGGGGGGGGTTTGGACCTTTAAAGACTGGTCACATGGACCTACAATGAGGTTCCAATTGGACGGTTGGTGAGAGATGAAAGCTATTCTAGAACCAAGCCACAGCCTGAAGGAGCCAACTCAAGGTTCCCCAGTCACTACAGGGCAGCTCTGGGCCCCCTGGGACGGTGGGCAGAGTCTGGGCTTGAATTAGGGAACTAGGGTGAAGCCTGCTGGGAGTAAGGGCAGGGCCCGGGGCCAAGTCAGGGAATCCCCAACAGTTCAGAGGCCCTTGCGCTGCCGCTTAAGGAAAGAAAGTGTGTAGTCGCTGGGTGTGGACACTTTCTGTTTCTTCATCTGCACTTGCGACTGTGCGGTGAGCTGCAGCTTGATGGCACTCGAGTTGATCTTGGTGGCCACCAATAGCTCCTTCATGCCTTTCATCTTCTCACTCTGGAAAGTGAGCACTGGGCCCTCCGGTGGTGGCGATGCCGGTGCTGGAGCCTGAGCAGCACTGCTGACTTCGGGGCCACGGGCAGTACCTGGGACAATGCCTGGCATTTTCCGGGGTGGTCCTGAGCCTGCACTTTGCCCAGAGCCCGGGCCCTTGTCCAACGCAGGCTTCTTGGGTGGGGGTGGCTCCTCAGGTTTGGACTCCCTGCGAGGACCGCGCCGCCGGCCTTCTCGGGATTCATCCCCCCATGGTTCTTCAGCCTCTGCCGCCTCTGCTTCACGACTAACTATGTGCACCTTCTGCCGCACCTAAGCAAGAGTGCAAGTCAAGGGAAAGGTTGTGGGTCACCAGTGGGAAGTCCAGGCTCAGTCCCTGGCCACCCCTCCAGGAGTCCCCTTTCATCGGTACTCACAGAGAGGCACATGCAATAGTCTCACTCCTCCATGGCTACTGTCACCACCTATAGTTCCCAGCCCCTGCAGGGCCCTCTCACCTGTCCCTCAAAGCGGCCGAGAGACTGCACGAGGAAAGTGGCCCAGCCTACATGCAGTACTGGTGTGGGGCTGCCCTCCTCCCATTTGCAGATGCCATCATAGAATCGCAGCAGGTGGGCAAAGCACTCTGGGTCCTGGAGGGCAGAACCTTGGCTCTGGGTGCCCTGGAAAAGAGGGTCAATAGGGAAGAGTTCAGACACTGCCCAGACAGACTGCAAAGCCCTGGTTTCAGTTAAGGCAAACACAGGTCAGGACCTCCTTCATTTTAACAGCCAGCCCTTGGTATGCATGCCTACAGCCTGGCGCAGGTGAGAACCGGGCCAAAAAGATGGATAGTAACCCATTTACCTGAAGGCTTCAGCTCTAAAACACCCTCAAGTCCCTCCTAACCCAAGCCCAAGATATCAGCTCCAGCAGAAAAGAATTCCCAGTCCTGCGCATGCATTCCAATATGCCCAGGAGGAGGGTGACCAATGAAGTCCTGCCCTTCACCTGGGCTTGCTCCCCTGGCCGCTCCTCCCCTGCTTCTAGCAGGCTGGCTGCCTCCTTCAGCAGATTGGGGATGACGTCATTGGCCACTTCAAAGAATTCCTTGTAGATCTCCTCATCCTCCCGGCAGTAGTTGTAGCTGTGAAAACATGTAGGATTTAGGCTGACAGTACCCCCACAATGGGACACCCCACTGACTGGGTGAGAGGCTGGGGGTCCTTGCTCATCTAAATGATGGTGACATGTTAGTTCAAGGTAAGATTAAGGAGTGGGATGTGGGGCTGGACTAGAAATTGGGCAGAGACAGTGGCACCACAGACAAGGGAACTGACTATAGAGCATAAGAAACTGAGCTGAGAGAGGGGAAAGACAGGGCAGAGGGCTCTGGCAGCCTTGGTGGTGTAGGGGCTGATCAGAGAGGGGACAGGGCTTCAGACAAGGTGTCACAATGGATGACTGACTGGAAAGTGACAGAAAGGACAGGCTGGAGGCCTGACAGGGGTCCTCACTCTTGGATAACAGTGGCGGTGTCGGCCCAGGCCTGCAGGGCTTCGCGCACATTGCGATTGCGACAGTGGTAGCCAGCCAGGTACATGTAGGGGTAGATGTGCTCATCTTGGTAGTAGGTCTTGGCTGAGGCAATGCCCTGGAGGATGGAGCAGAGGAACCTCAGCAAGGACAGCCCCCCATTGCCTGGACTAGCACAAATGCCTCATCAGTAATATGCCACAAAAGGAGGGCCCTAAAGAGTCTTCCTGGCTCCAATCCTGCCTCCATTCCTGCTGACCCCTCTACCTGGTGCTCCCCACTCCCTCCCACCTACCTCCATTCCAGGCTAAGGCAAGGGCAGACAACAGGAGTGGTGACCCCACAGAACAAGGCCCGGGAGGGGCAGGGAACACTCGCACTCAGGCCTAGGGCAGGTCCCCCCCTACATGCTCCTCTACAAAAACTTCCAAGCTCAGCCACCCTCCTACCATACTGAGCAGGCTGACATCTCTCCACAGTGCTACCACAAGCTACATGGCAGGGCAGCTGGTGGGACAAAGGCCCTGACAACCCCAGGCTGGGGAACCCAGGGCACTTCTTAAACACACAACTACCCTCATTATATATGTGCCTGATACAATGTAGGGCAGAAAACACCCTCCAGCGCACAAAGGTCTACATTTTTCACCTATCTCTTCCCAGTCCCCAGAAAGGAGTTGCTGGTTTTTGAGATGCCCTCACCTTGTGATAGAGCGTGAGTGGGTCTGGCCGACCAGGGGTGGGCTCCAGCTCCTCCAGATCTGCCAAGTTCCCTAGTGCCATGGGGTACCTAGGAACAGATAATAGGCCAGGCTGTCACCCAGTCCTCTGGCTCCCCCCAGGTCTAATCTGACCATATCCCTCTACTGACCTTTCCAGATGTCCTAGGTCATACAGCAGCCAAAGCAGCTTCTAGAGCCCAAGGGAAAGAGGTGTGAGTGAGGAGAAGGGAGCCACCTACCAGTAGAGTGGGATCTGGAAGCAGTAGCGCCCTTCCACCAGACAAGGCCAGAGTTCAAGATTCAGACTGTTCATGAAGCAAAACCCTTCATGTGCCAACCCCACCCTCCCTGGGCACTGAGAAAGGCCAGTCCACTATACAGAAGGGGGGTAGGGGAGTTAGTCTCCTCACCTGCTGCAGCTGCAGCAGCTCCAAGGAATCCGTGTGAAGATCAATAGAAGGGTTGATGGCACACACCATGAATGCCACCTCCATCTTGCGGTCACAACGCATGTATGATCCTTTCAGGTACAGCCAGCTCTGGGGAAGACACAAAGGAAGACATCTCAGGATGGCTCACCCTGGACCTGCTCTTGGGCATGGCAACTTAAATCTACCTTCCCCCTTGATACATGCACAGAGACGGCTGATGGGGTAACAGGAGCATGGCCGAGGGAGCAGAGTCCCTCAGATGACTTGGCTAACAGAACAGGGAAAGGGAAAATACAATACCCGTTCAGCCACGCCAGCATTGACTGTTTGGCCCCTGCGATCTTCATTGCCTTTGCCATGCCAGGTGACCTCAGCTGTCTGCTCCCCATTGGGCCCAAACACCACCCAAGCATGATCCTCTGACAGGGCCAGATGGACATCTCGGAGACCCAGGGCCTGGCAGGCCCCCACCACTGCAAAGGCCACACCCGAGCTGTCCAGTTTAGTGCCTGTAGAGGAGGGGTGGTAATGAGAGCTCTGGCCTGGAAGAAGGGGGCACCCCAACACCTTTCAAGTCTGTGTCCAAACCTCACATGCTCCTATCCATCACGTTCCCCCTTCTCTTCTATGCTTACAACCTCTCCCTCCTGCTAATCCAACCCCAGCAGGAGACCTTCCTGGATCTCAGCTCTACCCAGCCAAAAGCTGTTCCTCCCTTTTTCTACAATGTATACTTCTGTTAACAACGATTTAACCCGGTGTCTTACTGCACACTTATTAGACTATAACAGGGAGAACAAATCCATGACCTTACAATCCCCCCTCAACACACATTCCAGGCCCACGCCCTGACTTTTATCTCTGCACTTTTTTTCTGCTAAGCTCAGAAATGGCCTCAGATTCTTGCTCAACACTGTGCACCAGAAGCTGAAGCACTTTTCAAGTCCTTAGCTTGCTTGGGCTCAAGTCCGTAATTTCCTTTCCAAATATTTTCATAGGCATCATCTCATTTAATTGTCTCAAATGTATCCATCCCTTTGTCCTACTTCCCCGACCTGCTGACACCCTCTTTCCTCATATGTTAGGCTGCCAAATTCTTGTGGCTAATCAGTGGCAGGGCTGGAGTAGAGGGTAAGATCTGGTACCAATGGATCAGGTTCCAGTCCCAGCCCTGGCACTCCGACATTTAGAACATCACTTCTCCTTTTTGGGATTCTTGATTCCACAGCTGCAAAGGAGAAATAATACCTGCCCCACTATACAAGGTTTACGGGTCTCAAATGGGCTGTAAACCATATTGTTCACACACCAGACGAGGTAAGCCAACATATATTTGCTCCCCTGACCACCTGTCTAACTCCAACCTGTGATGAAGCTGAAGAGGGACTGGATGTGGGCACGGTCCTTGAAGTAGGAGCGGCTGAGGCTGTTCCATATGACATCGGAGACCTTTTTTACCAGTTCGCGACTGGAAACGCCCCCCTCTCGAGGGTAGAGGGAAAGGTCGACAGCGCCGCGGATCTGGGCGGTGAACCGGGCATAGAGGGCAGCAATGATGGATAGGTCGGCCACCGGAAAATAGGTGAGGCCACCAGGAGGGTCGGGTGCAGGGCTGGGCTGGAAGGTGAGCTCGGGCACGTTGGTGGGGATGACACGGTTGACAGCCAGGAAATGCTCAACGAAGCCCAGGACCAAAGAGAGGAGCACCAGGTCAGGCTCCTCTCGGCCCAGCTCCGCAGCAAACAGGCGCACCACGTCGTCGATAGAGCGCAGAGGAAACAGCGTCTTCTGGGCGGCCTTCAGCCCCATGGCGGCGGGCGGTGGCCTGCGGGCGAGCCGAGGGAGGGAGGGTCGGGCTCGGCGGGAGAGCCCCCTCCCAGGCTCAGCTAAGGCTCTACCCTCCGCCACAATTCTGCTTCGCCAGCAGCTTCGTCCTGCGCTCACGGGCGGTGGCTCGGTCGCTGAGACCCTTCAACCAAGGCTGTGGGGCCTTCTTGTTTCCTACAATCCCGGGACCCCCAGCCCCGATGAGGCTGCGTCCCAAAGACTTCTGAGGACCCTCAAAGGTCACCCCTGTCGGTTCCTATGACCCTTTCCCGGCCCTCTGGAGCCTGCCCAAAAGGCGAACCCAAACCAGCCTCCCGCAAGTCCCAAGGAGAGTCCTGGCCTCGGTCCCCCGAGCCCACCTCCGCGCTTACATCCCACACAAGGCACCGCGGCGCCCGCCCCTACTGCCTGCTGGGAAATGAAGTCCCGCGCCTCCCCTGGCCGCACCGCCTGCCGGGAAAAAGGAGTTCTTAATCGTCCCGCCCCGCCCTCACCAAATCTGGAAAAGATGAGTGTCAAGACCGCAGTGGCTTGTGGGAGAAGTAGTCTCGCTGCTCCAGTGCGGGTAGGCTGAGAAACCTCCTGAACTCCTCAGCTATTGGTCATTTTATGGTCACGCAACCCAGAGGTTTCCCGGTGCCGTCTGGGATATTGAAGTCCTGGGACTACACTCTCTAAGGCTGCTACAGTGTGTATTATGGCCAGTTTGCATGATATGAGGGAAACTGGTGCTTTAAGATACTACAAAGGACTTGCTTTGAAATACTACAAAGGTTCTGGAGACCCGACTAGGCTGTTCAGAGCACTTGTTGGGTTCAAGTCCCAGCACCCACATTGTGACTTACCGTAAGTTCCAGAGAATCCATGCCCTCCTCTGACCCCCACCAAGCGCCGACGTGGTGCACAAATGTGCAGACAAAACATTGACACCTAAAAATACTGCAGGGCTGGACAGAAACGGAGGCTCTTGGTGAGTTCAAGGCCAGTTTGTTCTGGCTAGCCAAGTGTATGACGCAATACCAGCCCTTGGGAGTTAGAGGCGGGTGGGACGGGTCAGAGTTAAGAGCCTTGGCTGCTCTTGCAGAGGACCCTGGGTTACCCAGTTCCAGGAGATCCAGTGTTTGCTGCTGACCCCTGCCGGCTTCAGGCAGGCACCTTGTGCACACATTTGTGTAAAATAAAATTTAGGAGGTGGGAGGAAAGGAATTCAAGGTCAGTCTTACTTTAGACAGGACCTTGCTTTTTAGTTTAGACTAGCCACACACAATGCTCTTGCCTCCGCCTCCACTGCACTGGTATAGATGTACACCACCAGGACACATGCAGAAATTAATCACCTCCAGAACGTCATCTTTATTATTATTATTATTATTATTATTATTATTATTATTATTATTATTATTATTATTGGGTTTTGTTTGTTGTTGTTTGAGACAGGGTTTCTCTGTGTAACAGCCCTAGCTGTCCTGGAGCTAACTATTTAGACCAGGCTGGCCTCGAACTCTGCCTGCGAATACCTTCTGAGTACTGGGATTAAAGTCGTGCTCCATGCCTCATGACCTCATCTTAACTAATGATGCCTGTTCTAACTCCACATTGCACATTGCACAAAAAGTCATTTAGCTGTTCTGTTTGACAGATTCAGCAAACCAGTCACATCGGAGTCCTGGAAAGAACAAGGGTTAAACACAAAAACCGGTTTTTCCAGACAGCCTTTTCTGTCTTCTGTGGTCAGAGACTGTCGTCTCCTCTAAATCTTTAACACTAGGTGGTGCTATGAACCCGGGTTTGCAATGATTTTGCTGTAGGCTTCATGCCATATAAAATAGGTGCTTGATGGGCAGGGGGTTGGTAGCTTGGGGCGGTGTAGCTGCTTGTGAGTGGTCCATGCTCCTGAAAGTTACTTCATACAGCTTTTCTTCGTGATACCTCCTAGACTGTGGACTAGGATGACGCGGAATACCTCCTTCCCAGGCTCAAGTTCTCAGAAATTCATTGAAGCAGACGATGAATGCAAAACTTCGTACTTTCTATGAAAAACCTATGGGATCAGAAGTAGCTGCTGATGCTCGGGGTGAAGAGTCTTGGTTCGAATTAGTGGTGAGACTGATAAACAAGGTTTTCCCGGGAAGCAAGATGTCTTAGCTGGGAGGTAGTGGCGCCCACCTTTAATCCCAGCACTTAAGAGGCAGAGGCAAGCAGATCTCTGTGAGTTTGAGGCCACCCTGGGTTACAGAGCAAATTCCAGGACAGCCAGGGATACATAAAGAAAACTTGTCTTGAAAAACAACAATAAATAAATAAATAAATAAGAATAATTGGTCAGGAAAGAAGGACGCAGGAAAGTTATCTAGTACATCCATTTTTTCCACCTGGCTGAATTTACCAGAATCTTTTCTCAGTCTGTTCAGAGCCTCTTTACTTGGGGTGAACACCCCAACAGCTTCCTTTTGTAAAATAACAATTCAGAGTCACACCAAATTATCTTAATCCTTTCTGAGGGCAGCAGCAGCACCTCAATGACATAACAACATACCACTAGGTGGGCTCATATCTAAAATAATTTATTTTTATTTTATGTACATTGGTGTTTTGCCTGCATGTATGCCTGTGTGAGTGTCAGATCTTGGAGTTACAGTTGTGAGCTGCCATGTGGGTGCTGGGGTCCCCTGGACTAGTAGCCAGTGTTCTCAACTACTGAGCCATCTTTCCAGCCCTGTCTTTTTAAAACACTTATTTATTTATTAAAGGGACGCATGTCACAGTGCACATGTGCTGAGGTCAGAGGACAACTTTCAAGACTCAGTTCTCAGGCTGGAGAGCTGGCTCTGTGGACTTTGCAGAGGACCCAGGTTCAATTCCCAGCACATATATGTGGGCTTAGATCAGCCTATAACTCTGGTTTGAGGGGATCCAATGTGCTCTGGCCTCATCAGACACCAGGCATACATGCATGTGATACACAGACATACACAGGCAAAACACTCATACATATAAAATAAATACATCCAAAAAAAAAGTTTTAGGGTGGTGGAGACGGCTCTATAATTAAGACCATTTGCTGCATTCTCAGAGGACCCAGATCTCAGTATCCACATGACCACTCAGAACCATTTCTAAACCCAGTTCCAGGAGATCCAACGCCACCTTCTGGCCTCCAAGAACACTGAATGTATAAGATGTCCATGCATACACACAGACAAAACATTCATACACATAAAATAAAAACAATAAATCTTGGGGGCTGGAGAGATGGCTCAGCAGTTAAGAGCACTGGCTGTTCTTCCAGAGGACCCAGGTTCAATTCCCAGCACCCACATGACAGCTAACAACTGTCTGTAACTCCAGTTCTAGGATCTGATACCTTCACACCAATGCACATAAAATGCACAAAGTTAACTAAATTATTATTTTTTAAAAAGATTTTTATTTATTTATTATGTATACAATACAGTGTTCTGCCTCCATATGTGACTGCATGCCAGAAGAGGGCACCAGATCTCATTGTAGATGGTTGTGAGCCACCATCTGGTTGCTGGGAATTGAACTCAGGACCTCTGGAAGAGCAGTCAGCATCCTTAACCTCTGAACCATCTCTCCAGCCCCCAACTAAATTATTTTTTAAAACCAGTAAATCTTTTTTTTTTTTGTAAAGAATTGGGGAAAATTGCCAGGCAATGGTGGTTCACACCTTTAATCCCAGCACTTGGGAGGCAGAGGCAGGCGAATCTCTGTAAGTTCAAAGCCAGCCTGGTTCACAGAGTTCCAGTTCAGCCAGGACAAGCCTGAGGACCTGTGATCCCTGGAACTCAGGAAAGGTTGCAGAGGCCTGACTCCAGAGAGTTATCATCTGACTTCCACACCTGTGGTCACATATACCTCAATACACATAGTAAATGCAATTTTTAAAATATAATTAATTAAGAAAATGTTTTAAAATGTAAAACCTTGGAAATGAGATTGCATTTCCAAGGATTTGGCTGACTTTTTTCCTGGGTGCCAGGAGAGAGCAGCCAGCCATTTCTCCAATTTAATGAGGGGTGGTTTTCAAGTCTTAACTTGCTAGAGGTCTGGACTTCCCTTCGATCTGTCCCACATCTCCACTTGGACCGTCTGTTCCCCAGTGAACAGAAGAAACATTTCCCAGTCCGACAGCACCTGTCATTATCACATTACCCAAGTCTTACTGGAACCTCTGTGAGGTGGGTTTTGTTGTTTGAGATTGTTGATGTTGTGTGTGTTTTGCCTGCGTGTCTATGTGTGCACTACAGGTACACACCTGGTGCCCACAGAAAGCAGATGAAGGCAATGGATTCCCTGGAACTGGAGTTATGGATGGTCGAGTCACCATTTGACTGCAAGGGACAGGATCTGGGTCTGACTCTCCAGCCCAAACTGCTCAGGCCCTGTAATTCTACCATGCACCTGCAATCTTCTCCCAACCAGATCCACCTTCTCCACCCACTTCCCTCCAGCTCCAGCATTCAGACCTTACCCTCCTCTGCCCAGCCCAGTCATGGAAACTCTGGCTAAGAACAAGATACCTGTGAGGCCTTCCCACTTCCACAGAGGATTCCGTGTGAGCACACTGGGCTGCAGAGGACTTGAGAAGGCCTTAGATCCACTCCTACAGTATCCAGAGTCTGCCTTCAAGGTTGCCTTCTGCCAACTGTAAATATAAACTGTTGGGGCCACTGATGCTGGCTGGGATGACTCCCAGGAGGTGGGAGGGGGAAGGGTGGGTACAGTGTAGAAAGAGAATTACCTCTAGGCCTCCATTCCAGCTCAGCCACAGCCAAGGTCATCTTGGGCAGACCACAGCTGTCAGGTAGCACTACTGTGTCTTTTTAGTTTTTTGAGACAGGGTTTCTCTGTAGCTTTGGAGTCTGCCCTGGCACTAGCTCCTGTAGACCAGGCTGGCCTCGAACTCACAGAGATCCACCGGCCTCTGCCTCCCGAGTGCTGGGATTAAAGGCATGTGCCACTACTGCTCAGCCCACTGTGTCTTCCTATGGACAGTCTGGAGCCCTAACCCCTGTCTGCTATGATCTTGGGATGGTCGATGGGAACTGAATTCAAAACCTTTAGAAGAGCAGCCAGTGCTCTTAACTGCTGAGCCATCTCTCCAGCTCTAAAAGGTTTATTTTTATGTGTATGAGTGTGTTGCCTGCGTGTATGTAAGTGCAGCATGTGCGTTTCTGGTACCTGGAGGTCAGAAGAGGGTAACAGATCCCTAGAAACTGGAGTTATGGATGTTTGTGAACCACTCCTGGAAGGGCAGCCAGTGTTCTTAACCGATGAACCATTTCTTCAGTGCTGCGGGAGCGCCTTCCGCTTAGCCGCTGGAAATGCCAGCCCACTGGGGCGTGGTATATTTCTCTTTTAAAAAGAGCCGCAGAAAATGTGTCGGATATTTTGGGGCGGTCACGTGGGCGGGCGGGCTCCGAGAGGCCCCGGGATTGTCCCAGCCTAGAGCCGTGCCCCCCTGGAGCCCCCCATTACCGCGAGTCCCTAACACCTCGGCGCTCCATCCCCGAGACCGCCTGACGCCGGGACCTCGGGGCTCCGCGGCCTTCCTTCCCCCGCCCTACCCTCCAGGTCCTCTCACCTCAACCTGGCCCAGTATGTAGAAGGGAATCTCTGCAGAGGCCAGAGGGACCCTTGGAGACCCAGTGGGCAGGCCAGCCAGGGTGGGCACGGAGCTCCCAGGCCAGGGCAATGGGCATGGGCGGGGGCTGCAGCTGAAGACTACCCCCGCCCACTGCAAATTCCAAGGGATTCCCACACTGCAGCTACCATGGCCACCAATAAGGAGCGACTCTTTGCAACTGGTGCCCTGGGACCTGGATCTGGGTACCCAGGAGCAGGCTTCCCCTTCGCCTTCCCAGGGGCACTCAGAGGGTCGCCACCATTTGAAATGCTGAGCCCCAGCTTCCGGGGCCTGGGCCAGCCTGACCTCCCCAAGGAAATGGCCTCTCTGTCGGTGGAGACACAGAGCACTAGCTCCGAGGAAATGGTGCCCAGCTCTCCCTCACCCCCACCACCTCCTCGGGTCTATAAGCCATGCTTTGTGTGCAATGACAAGTCTTCCGGCTACCATTATGGGGTCAGCTCATGTGAAGGCTGCAAGGGCTTCTTCAGGCGCAGCATCCAGAAAAACATGGTGTATACATGTCACCGTGACAAAAATTGTATCATCAACAAGGTAACCAGGAATCGCTGCCAGTACTGCCGGCTACAAAAGTGTTTCGAAGTGGGCATGTCCAAGGAAGCTGTAAGGAATGACCGGAACAAGAAGAAAAAAGAGATAAAGGAAGAGGGTTCACCTGACAGCTACGAACTGAGCCCACAGTTAGAGGAGCTCATCACCAAGGTCAGCAAAGCCCACCAGGAGACTTTCCCCTCGCTCTGCCAGCTGGGCAAGTACACCACGAACTCCAGTGCAGATCACCGGGTACAGCTGGACCTGGGGCTGTGGGACAAGTTCAGTGAGCTGGCCACCAAATGCATCATCAAGATTGTGGAGTTTGCTAAGCGGTTGCCAGGTTTTACAGGACTCAGCATTGCTGACCAGATCACTCTGCTCAAGGCTGCCTGCCTGGATATCTTAATGCTGCGAATCTGTACAAGGTATACCCCAGAGCAAGACACCATGACATTCTCGAATGGACTGACCCTGAACCGTACCCAGATGCACAATGCTGGCTTTGGGCCCCTTACAGACCTTGTCTTTGCCTTCGCTGGGCAGCTGCTGCCCCTGGAGATGGATGACACAGAGACTGGGCTGCTCAGTGCCATCTGCCTCATCTGTGGAGACCGCATGGACCTGGAGGAACCCGATAAGGTGGACAAGCTGCAGGAGCCCTTGCTGGAAGCCCTGAGGCTTTACGCCCGGCGACGGAGACCCAGCCAACCCTACATGTTTCCAAGGATGCTTATGAAAATCACTGACCTCCGGGGCATCAGCACCAAGGGAGCAGAAAGGGCCATTACCCTGAAGATGGAGATTCCAGGCCCAATGCCCCCCCTGATCCGAGAGATGCTGGAGAACCCTGAAATGTTTGAGGACGACTCCTCGAAGCCTGGCCCCCACCCCAAGGCTTCCAGTGAGGATGAAGCTCCAGGGGTCCAGGACAAAGGGGGCCAAAGTCCCCAACCTGACCAGGGCCCCTGACCTACCCCACTGTGGGGCTGGGCTCCAGGCAGCAGACTGACCATTCCCCAGGTACCAGTGACTGGGGGAGGACCTGCCCTGCCCACTCCCCACCTTTCCAATGAGCTCATTGTTTTGCCAAAGTTTCTAGGGGTGCCTGTGTTCATCCCTGTCCTGTTCTAACTGGCTCACTCTACAGTCCTGGAGGACTGCCCTGCACCTACCAGAAGAACGGAGAAGGGGTGAGCCTGAGTCTCAACTCTATATCTCAGCACTGCCCATCAGATTCAGGCCACAGGCTCCCGGGGCAGGAGGAAGCCCCGCCTTCCCACAGCTTCTTCCTCTGCCAGGTGCTTGGGCCTCTGGGAACAAACAGGAACACTAGAGACCAAAATGGGGAGGTCCTCAAGGAGGGCTGAGCCCACCCTGGTGCCCTACCCTGGGTGCCCAATGCTGTGTGATGAACCTGCCATGCACACTGCCCCATGCCCCATCCTCCTGCCAGGTGTAGGGGCAGGCTGGACCCTGCATTTCTGGGGTGGGGCCTGAGGGTGAAGGGAGAAGCATAAGCCCTTTCTGTACCTCTCTGCTGAGGTGCAGCTCTCATCCTGGGCCCTCTATTTTACAAACCCCTCCCTTAGCCCTGTCTTGTGCCTTGGCCTCCTGCCCCCATCTCAGCCATCAGACAGGGACCCTCCTACACTACAGAGGGGACAGGGATCCCTCTCCTAGTGCCTTCTACCCTTGACCCCCAGAGCAGCTTGGCCCAGGGAGGGGAGATGCTGCTTAGCTGATCCCACCCTGACCCAGAGGAAGCCTCTATTTATTTATTAGCTTTTGTTTACACCCTGGAATGACCCCTTCCTCCAGGGGTCTTGTGTGGGGGAGCCCAGGGCCTCTGTGACCCCTTCCTTCTTCCCCCAACCCCCCATTTGTATTTAGCTGCCAAATAAGATTCCTGCAGGCTCCCCCTTTTCTCTGGGGGGTCAGGGTGCTGCCCCCTCCCCTCTGTTTACATCTCCCCCCTACCCCGCTGTATCGCATATTGCTGAGTTTTCTATTTTTGCAAAATAA